GAATATCTGTTCAAACATACATGCCAGTGTATGCAATCGCTTGGCGCCTTTGAAGCGTTTTGTAGTAGGAAAGTTTGAACAATTATAAGTAAGTATTAAACAGGACAAAATGTAAATTATATCGTTTATTTAAATCCTATAGTATAAATATACATCCGGATTAGGATTTACTAAGATTTAAAAATGAAAGGAGAACATTCATTTTAAAATTCGTTTAGAAATACTTTTTCAGGAAATGTTTCACTGTTGTCATCCGCTTGCGTGAACGCTGGGATTTGTATGTATGTATAGTAAAATACCCTTATTTCCCAGTTACTTTGGTTTTACATGAAATATACACAAAAAAACACCACATAGCTCTTCTAAATTGTAACCTTGTGATTTGAGGATTTAAATTGATTAGTTACGAATTTTTTACTAACTTAATTCTATATGAAATTTATCAATTTGAGGTCGGACGAAATCTTATTATCTAAAGTACCTCAGTCACGGACTTGCATGAAGAGGATACATACTTATTTGTGGTTTTCAATCTTCAGCATTCTCATAGTCCCGTTGTCCTGTGAGTGAAAGAGGACAATTCATCCATTGCTCGGTCGACTCTGTAGTACCGTGTGGGAAGTTCCTTTGTTTTTTGGTTTTCCTCTTGTGTTTTTTCCCTTAGTTTTTTGTTTGTTTTTGTTTTGTTTTTTGTTTTATGCTTTTTTTTGTTCTATGGGATTTTTTTTGTTCTGTTTTTTCTTTTTTGTTTTGTTTCTTAAATTCCGTTCAATGAGTTAAAACTATAATGGATAAATGACTGACGATAGACTTGGTTTACTTCGTAACCCTCTTTGATCAAAATCACACAATTGTATCAATGTAAATTAGAAACACATCTGTCACCTTAGAGGAAGTTATGTCAAGCGCACGTGGTTAACAACTAGAAGTTACTCATATAAGCTGTAGATAAAGTATACAAACTCTGCGTACGTTGTGGTTTAAATTGGTTTGTAGGTAGGTTAAGTAGACTGTATCTATATCAGTACAAAACACAAAAACGGTGCCATCTACATATATTTATCTATATATTTCGTCTTCTTGACAAGACTGTTGTTCCTGAGAGCACAAACGTATGGTGTAGCGATTCGGTATACTAAATATATTTAAACAACGGAGTCGATCTATTTTCGATCTTGGCTCCACAAGTTTTCCCCTTTCTTTCTCTCTTTCTTAGTTGAATGGTATTTGTGCACCGGCTTTAAGATACAGGTTTCATTGTGCATGTGATTGTTCTATTTGCATTAGAACAATGGTCAAGCAGTACATATTATCCTAAATACAGTTCCATCGCTTTTGTCCTTCTTGTCCTTGTAAAATTTTCTTGGCAAAGAAGATAACTTTCCCTAGTACTACCGCTAATTCTTGGCAAAGGAGATAATTTTCCCTAGCACTACCGCTAATTCTGGGCAAAGAAGATAATTTTCCCTTGTACTACCGCTAATTCTTGGCAAAGAAGATAATTTTCCCTAGCACTACCGCTAATTCTTGGCAAAGAAGATAATTTTCCCTAGCACTATCGCTAATTCTTGGCAAAGAAGATAATTTTCCCTAGCACAACCGCTAATTCTTGGCAAAGAAGATAATTTTCCCTTGCACTACCGCTAATTCTTGGCATTTTTGTATCGTCCTCGTCATTTGACCCCTGATATTCTTAACCTAACTAAGCATATACTTTGCACACGGACCTTCGACCAAGCTTCATGCAAGTCCAATTTACCTACCGCACAGGGCTTAGAAAAGGGCGTTACCCCAACACGAAAAGGTGGAATTATATTAAGATTTATCCAAGACCTAAATCAACCATGGATAAACAGCAAAACTTCCGGACTTATCAGACTGGTGACGTCGCCGATAAAAAGTTACGTTTATACCACGGTCAAGAAACCTTTGGAGTCCAATAAACTTTCAAGGTGTTAAAACTATAAATAAATCACAATTTTTTAGACTTTGGAAACGAAAAAAATGCATCATAACAACAAGAACTAAAATCCGAAACTGCAAATTCTCTTTTGTTGATATTTCATATATGTAGGTAAACAATAAGCCCGAATGCTGTCCTTTAATAATGTCACTTAATTCATTTCCTTTGTTTATGTAGAGCTCAATTCTTCGTTAAGAGATTGAGTTAAGACTATTATTATTCTTACTTTGATATGTAGATAAAATATACTTTTTCCATTCTTGTATCTTTTTTCTTGATTTCTTTTCTTGAAATCACACTAATTTTTCATCTCTTATTTAATTGCTTTTTTCAATTTTGACATTCATTTGATATTGTTATGACGCAATCATCTGCAACTGAGTTCTATAAATAAACTTAATATCTCTGCGAGTATATTCTTTCACCTTATCTGAATTAATGTTTACACCCAAATATGAACCATATACAGATGTTCAGTAATCTCTCATCGAAGAGGTATTTCTATTCAGTCAAACTGCTTTCATTTAACAAAGAACGGTATGGTATTGTTTTGTTTGAAATACATCCATACAAACAAAATGATAAATATAAGCTAATTTTGCTTTGTACTGTGTTCTCTCTTAATCTATTATTTCGAATGATTACAGTTCTAAGGACAATTGTTAAAAGTTATAAACTGAATCGTTAAAGTGTTTAACAACAGCTTCTTTATGAAGCTAACACCCCTTTTATTTTATGAACTACAATACGAGAAAACTGAAGGGACTTTAATGAGAACTATGTGGCACTCCATTTTAAACATTTTTAGCTGTTCTCATTATTCTGCATTTTAAAACTGATAGTTTATTGTCATTTCAGTGATAATGTGCTGATTCATTACGAACCTAACAGAGAACACGTGATCGAAATTAAGACTAGTTCAAAATGAAAACAGACGTACTTGACAAAACAAGAATTAACTGTACATAATATGTTTTGTGTCCATGCAATTATATGATTGTCTTTTTAACTGAGAGAAAGTGGTTGGTTTGTTACTCTTATGATATGTTATTGAAAGTCAATTTAGTAATTAAAACGTACTTAAGACGTTTTCTTTTGATTGTTTTAAAGTATCAGTTTGCTGTGATTTGTTGACTAATTGTGTGTCCGTTGGGCAAGTCTTGGCTTAATTACAATTTGTACAATATGACGAATACAATAGAAATGAAATAGCAAGTGTCTTGTTTGGAGAAGAAATTATCCTTTCTTTCAAAATGCAAATACCAGTAATTATTGATATTTTTCTGACTTTGTAGGGGGTTAAATATTTGTGAGAGAGCAATTACCAAAAGGGGCTTTATCTTATCTCCTTTTAGTGTGAGTTATTACTTGAGCAATTACAAGTTTAATTTTTCTCTCCAATTATATTTCTTTACAAATGAAATTATCAACAAAGTTGACTGTCTCAGTAAACATTTGTGTTTCTTTCGTTTAAAACAAAACATTAGATATGTCAATTGCTTAATAGTTTTAAAGAGAACAAATTAGCATACTTTCGCTTTCCTCTTAACAGCATTATCACACTTGAACAATTAAGTAAAATCTCCTTCACAGTCATCAGTTGTTTTTAAATAACAAGGTTTTACAATTAAAATGGCTGTTCACAAAACCACTATATTGTTCAGTGATCTATGGTGTAAACTAATACTACGTCTATGATATTTACAAAGTCACGCAACGATAAAATAGATGATTCATCCAGCATTATCAGTCAACAAAAAACGCTAAACAAAAATATGAGGAATGCAGATAGGTTAAATATAGGAGTACTCACGATAAACGGTTACGTGGTGTGTCACAATACTTATAAAAATATGTTAAAGCATGTAATATAATTGATTTTTAGCAGCTATTCTTTTTCAAACACAAATTAGAATTCATATTTCAGAAATATTTGTGCAGCATAATAAAAGAAGTAGTATATATACATTCTGGAGAATCATATTGGGGTAACAAACACAAATATGATAAAAAAAGCTAAAAGGGAAAAAAAACCCAAACACACACACACACACACACCCTCACACACACAAACACACACACTCACACACCAAAAAGAAAACAAAACATCACAAACAAAAACAAATAAATAAAAAAACAAATAAAAAAGACGAAAAGAAAGGGACAAATTAAAAATAAGAAAGATACAAATTAGGGTACACTTTCTGAGATAATCAGTATAAATGCTTGACAAATGAGTCACTCCTTTTACCAACTGACACAAGTCAGCCATGCGATAAACATTACATACTTTACATAACATACCAAGATAATGTTAAAATGTATACAAACAAATCGATATATTTCTATTAAGAAATGTATATCATTATTGTTAAGAGTAGTCAAACTGTCCATTGGTAGAACATATTATTTCCCATATAGACAATTTAATTTCATCTTATACACTTTTTGATGCCTCAGATTATTCAATTGGCCAGTAATTTGTAATTAAATGAGTGATCCTGGCTTTTTTTTATTACGAAGATTGGTCAAATCACACCCTGGTGAACATGATCGCACCAAATAAGCTACAGACGAAACAGGCTTTATGGTGATGAAAGGACTAATTTTCAGCTAGATCCCTGCGACCGTCTCACTATCATTATCTTGTCTGCTTAGCGCTGTATCGATCTGATTGACAGATCCATTACCTGACTGTGGCTCCTCCCACCTTACACTGATTGGGCGAGGAGTCTCATCGCCAGATTCACACGGATGGTTAAGATTAGAAATACTAAATAGGATTTTCACTGCTAATGCCGAACAACAATTTGTTAACAATTTCAAAAATTGTGACGATGGGTATCATTTAAAAATGTATTTCACCTGTGACTCTTCACTCGCTGTTTGAAGAAGTAAGGAAAGGTACTGTCTACATCAGCTCTACTAGAATATTGTTAAGAAGTCGGTACAACTGAGATACTGATATTGTTTGCACCGCATTGTTGTAATAGTGGACAAACCTTATTGTTTTAATTAAAATATCACAGCCGGTAAAATGGCAAGTGGTAAAGAAAGACTAGAGTTTGCGGACTGTGGACACGATTCTGACTCGGAGAAAAATATAATGGATAACGAAAGTGTAGAGGACCGATTATCGCCTCGAATACCACCAGCGTCGCCGGAATCATCGGACTATGACGAGAGACTGTCCCTACCTATGGATTTAAAAACACGTCCAAGTGTTGACGGTACATCCGTATTAACTAATAAAGCAAAATCGTCATTTCTTATCACAGACATTCTCTCCAGTAGAAGTGAACAGAAGTATTCCAAAGACAATAGAAAATCGCATACTTGTCTAGATGCTATTGGACACCAGTGTAAGACTTGTAATATAGAACCGTCCAGAAAACGTAAAGAAAGATTCAGGGAAACGGACTCACCATCCCAGGAAGATTCAACAGACGAACAAGATGAAGGTTTGTGGTCATTCAAATGATTTAATATATCACACATTTAAAATATATACGTATACTATGTTACATCTTTATTTAATGCATAAATATTTTGAATTATGTCTTTTTTTGATATCATAATAACCTGTAAAGTTTTGATGTGACGCCTACGTTCAGGAATAAATTTGACATATATAAATGAAATTTGAAGGAAAGTTCTTTCTATGAACGTTATGTAAAAATATTGTCAAGAGTGTTTCAATATTAAAAACAGGCCGCAATTGCCTTGAAATTATGCAGTGATTGTGAGTATTAATTGGACAAACGTACAGCAATGCCGATGTGATAATTGTGTAAAACGTTTGTATGAAGTCGACAAACATGTTCTTCATCTTTAATAACATGCATTTGTACGCCTGTGATCCTGTCATAAGATGTATACGTATTCAATAAGCTTCTTACAGAATTCAACTTTCTTCTCAACAAACCTTCGCACTTGTCTGAACTTACCGGAGTTAATAACAATATTAAATATAAAGAGCTTGGAAAACGTGTACATCCTTTGAAGAGATTTGAGGCTTATGTGGTGGCATATGCACTGAAAAAATGTCATTTAACACAATGATACACAATATGAAATACATCCAACATATACATCAAGTTTCATTACACACTAAATAGTTCTTTAAACTCTATATAAGATTATACATTTGTGTAGCATTGTCCTAAAGATGATTAAGTATATAATTTATCGTATAAAAATGCATACATGAATATATATATTTGTAAACATATACGAACATATCAATTTAAATATACACATTTGTGTCAATATTTGATAAGAGTATGCATATAAGATATATCTTATAACCAAACTACATTTCAATTCAATATTTTAACATATAAAAAGAAATTAATGTTTAACACTAGCTGGTGGTATTGTTGATATGAAATGTTAAACACAACATTAAACCATATTTCAATTGAACTACTGTGTAACACAAATACCTTTTTTATTTAAACGGTAAATAATTTCTAACGAATGCAACAGTCTGGTCTGAAATCATGTATCTATCTCTCTCCACGATCATCACATTTTCACCTTAGCTTCATTACAAAACATAAGCTAGGAAATTTAAATGTATGACCTACGTTAAATATAATTGCCTTTTTATTGCTTTTCAAAAATGTATGCACAATCTCTTCCACCATAGCCAAGGTTCAAGTCGTGTCATTACACCTTCGATCAGTACAAGTCTCTACTATACTATTGAAATTCACCGGTTATAGACTTGATGGTAAATATTCGGCAATTTTTCGTACGATTTCAAGTACTTCTCTTTCATGATAAATTTTAAAATGTCAGAAAGATCATGGTTTTTAAATAATGTGGTTCGAAGGGATGCACGTGTCACACACATACCTTGCATTAATGAAGTTTTCCATTTATAACCTGAATAAACATCAATACAAAAGTAAATGAAATATTTTATATTAATGATATTGTCATATGTGATAACTTGATATTAGAGCTTAACTCTAGACGACATTAGCGGCTTGTACTTACAAAATACTTATCAAGAAAACACAGATAAAATTACAAAGTCAATGCTAATATAATTGTTATACATTTGTTGTAGAGAAGAATTTTAATTACGAATACATTTCAATACATTACTACTAAATCTTATTTGATCATTTTTAAACGTGATACGATAAAATACCTATATTTGAAGCCATATTAATTACAAAAAAATTGTATACACAGATCTAGTTGTATAAACCAATTTTTAATTTCTACACAAATAACACCTACAGGTGCATTGTTCTGGCTAATTATCAGCGTTGGTGATACATTTGCACCTGCTGACATACCCACATGTTAATTTTACGATAAACACTGATGATATTTTACGTGATTTGACACCTAGCCATTTTCGAGATATTATACATTAATAAGGTACTGCGCTAAAGCAGGCAGTATATTGCTTGTCAAGTAGTAATTGGTTTAATTAATAAAACATCGCACAAGCCAAGGCCGGGGAGTCTTATAATACAGGTGTAACAGTGCAATGTCCTGTTACAGGGACCGGGCGGCATATTTTACCGGCAACACAAAACTTAATGTTACCTAACGTGTATTAGTATTATAACGGAATTTTCTGTAATCTATCTCGGCGATATTTTGTTTGATAACAAAAGATATATACGTTAACAGTAATATCTAGCTGGTTTCTAAAACACCTTACGGGCGAATTAGCACGCTATGAAGTAATTGTAAATTTAACTTTTTGGGATTTCTACTGTAAAGTACAGATATAATACTTTGTGAACTGGCATTTAAATTTATTTACGTTTTGGAGAGAGAAATGAGTATAATTAACATTGTGCATATGACGATTGTATTACACACTTAATAACAATAAAATGAAATATTTTTTGTCTTTTGTTTTGTCTCAATATGGTATTATAAAAAAAGCACTGCAATATGTTGAGGTACAAAAACAATGGTTCACGGCCTTAGGGCGATACAGGTCTTTTTGTATCACAGATGCTCTACCTGGGAGAATAAAAGAGGTCAGAGACAGTGAAATCAAAGCAGGCTATGAGAACACTATCTGATAATACATTAATGTTAACGCCTCGATGCGCGAAACCATCCACATGTTTTGCCTTGCTTAAAATGGACATCTGTCAATAACGCTGTTCATAACAATTGTATAATAATCAAATTTATTCATTCCTCGTCACATTATCACTTTAGTTAAATGGTGCTTGATACTAATGCTGTTTCACTGCCATTGTTTGTCTATCATTGAAAATACTGTTTATACCACAACGGAAATTTAATGTTTTAACAAAATTGTTGTTTCCAAAAGAATATTTTTAATGTTTTCATGAACTTTCGAAAATAAATTTTTGAATCAGATGTTATAGAAGAAATCACACCGCTATTGATAATATTTTTCTTTTGTTCATGTTTCACCCTAGTTTTATCGAATTTGTGTTTGAGTTACGTTTGTGTTAGTATGTCGATATTTTCTTTGTTGTTTTCTTAATAAAATAATACGGATCGCTTTTAATTTATTTCCCAATTTTTCCTCAGAATCCTCAGACAACAGGCAATGTGGTCCTGACGGCTCATCTTTATGCTCAAAACACAAGAAGCCCAGAAAGGCTAGAACTGCATTTACAGATCACCAGCTGAACTGTCTAGAGAAAAGCTTTGAGAGGCATAAATATCTAAGTGTACAAGACAGAATGGAACTGGCAGCTAAACTCAACTTGACGGACACTCAGGTGAAAACCTGGTACCAGAATAGGAGGTAAATATCATGACACATATTCATCAAGGACATGTCTAGAATCAACTTTTGTACAGTAGTTAAAATGGTTCTACAAGATTTTATCTTGATTCAAAAAACATTTTGTAAATGATAAGATTTAACTCATTAGAGGCTGAAAGATTATATATCTTAAAAAATTGCAATACCACATTCATCCGAATATATTTGTCTGTATTGAAGCATAAATTAAAAAAAACAACAAACAAAAAAAAAAAAAAAAAAAAACAAAAACACACACATATGTTTATGTATATATATTAGAGTGAAAATATCTATTAATGTAGTTTTCAGTAACGACAATTAAGTGTTAAGACTTGAAACTAACAATAAATATGTGTAGTTGAGGCGAACAAAGAAACCCTTTTTCTCTTGCAAACGTAGCAAATGTTAAATGGAAAAATAAAATTCAACTACATGGTAAAATATTGGTGTGACGCAGATTTATAATGAATAATTTGATAATCTGAATAGTAAACTTACAGAAAGATAAGTATTTAATATTATAATATGGCAGTGAAAGCCCATCACTTATTATAGACATAATAACTCATAATAACATATGATTTCAAAATTTACATCTTCACACTTCCGTTCAGATAATACCGATTCACATCATACTAAACTTGTATATTTTTCTGTGAATAATGTGGTTGCATCAAACATTTTAGAGGCAAAATCAAACGCTTTATGAATACTTTTCGTAATTTTTTTTCAAAACTTCCTAAATTAGTTTTTCATTTGTTTGTCATTTGTACAATCTTTGATAGAAATCAGAAACAGTGATCAAGAATAAAATCAAAGCTGGAGTTGCTACTTTAGCGTTTAAGCAGTCTGTGAGACAATGTAGACGGCCAGACATTGCCTGGCTAATATAGATTATGACAGAGCGAGACTCACTGTAACGTCTTCTGTTGGCCAATCGGAAAAGATTTTAATGTGCCCGGAAGGCTATAACAACTGCGCAAGCAAGTCTTTCTGCTTGAATGAGTAAGTTGCGGAAGCTCGATAATTGTTCCGACAACTCTTAATTAGCAATGAAGTAAAGATTGTATTTACGCGTTGTTGTCTCCGGAAGAGAAATGCAAAATGCTTTAATAGTATAAATCAGGAGTCAGCTCTGTTGAGTGACAAAATCCACCAAATGTGCCAAAATTTCTTATTGATAGCGCTTAGGTTCCAGGAAACGTTGTCCAATAAACTGATGCCATTTTTTCTGCTCTCTGCGTACAGTTGCAATGCATTCAATAATGCTTAAAAGAAATAGATGGTATATGTATATGAAAAATACATAAATTAAAAAAAACGCCATTGTTAAAACAATTCAGAAAAATATCCAATCTGTTCCCGAGATTAAATAGTGACCAATTTAAAAATGAGTATAGATATTACTAGCACTACAATCACCAACTTCCTTAATGTAAAACAAACTGTGTTGATAAGAAATGAAATCTGATTTTCAATAAAAGCGTAAAGTTTGAATTGTATGTGTATGCAATATTTATTTCATGCAGTTGACGGGATAATATTTTTCAGGACAAAGTGGAAAAGACAAACATCGGTTGGACTGGAACTCTTAGCAGAAGCCGGAAATTACAACGCTTTCCAAAGACTCATGCATTCTAGCAATTATTGGTCTCCCTATCACCAGCAGGCCGCGCGAATGATATCGACACTCGATTCATATTACTACCGGTCCGGAAGTTCCACAGCACTATCTTCTCAACGGCCGATGATGCCGCGGATGTACATCCCTGGAATGAGTTCTTTGCCTTCTTGACCTGAACGTGTTATTCTTTCGCGTTGATGACTAGACAGACAGTATTCACGTCATCGAAAAATATCAAGTGTTATGATAATTTAAAGCATTTTGAACTTATCAAAATATTTTAGTAACTAATTTATCATTGTTACCTTGTCCTTCGTTGACATGCTTAAACGACACGATAAAAGACAGAAACCATTTGGCTGTGTCATGATGATGCAGCAATCAAAACAGATATTCTATACTTCTGACAAGTAAACATCTTCAGCAAATATCCATTCAACATTTTACAATCTAACCATGGAAACATTGGTGAAAGATTTTTTTTCACTATTACTGATTAGGGACAACATCAGTCTGGGTTTATTCTGAAGAAAATGGAATTAATATTTAATTCAAAATTATGCAGATAGAGGTTTTTTAGTCTGTGAAATGAAGTGCAGCTTCACTCAGCGACGTGATATAACACGTGTGTTGTTAATTACAACATCAAAGACTGATTTAATACGTACATGTTTTAAGATGTGCAAAAAGTCGATAATAAGTTTTAATTATTTTGCACTTTACATTACGAAAAAAACTAAAAAGATAATCGTTGTAATAAAAAACTGAGGTGAATGGCGTTATTTTCTACAAATAATTTTCTGGTACAACTGTACTTCATCACTTCTTGAAAATAAAATTTTCCTGTTTTTTAATGTAATACTATAACAATACATAAAATTAGCACAAAGATTTGATTTCCATGATGCTCCTGTAGACAAATCTACCGAACGATTGTTTCCAGTGACTACAACTTATCGTTTATATATATTGGTCTTGCATTGATACTGGAATATTATTGTTCATTAATGTTTTTTTTCTTCGTCAAACAATCACATACGTCACATAAATATTGTACTGTTTCTAATTTTTGTCTGGAATGTATGCACGCCATTATCATTGCGCCCTTAAAGGGAACTTATTTTGAACCCTAAAAGGGACTTATTTGAACCCTAAAAGGGAACTTATTTTGCTCAAATACCTTGAAATCAATGTGAGCGACTTCTGTGTGAATACCTAATTATCCTAGTAACCGCATCAGTTTTTGTCTACATCTCATTAATTCATTGCGGATTTCATACATATAAAATGTTGTTGTAAAATGTGTAAATAAAATTCTTAATTTATTTTACTTGTGTTGTTTTCTGATTAATCCATTGTTAAACTAAATGCCAGCCAAAAGTTGAATAAATTTACGGTTATGTGTGCATTTTCATTCACAGATGAGGATAAAAAATGGAAAAATATTTACAAGTCCCGATACCGATAACGTATCAAAACGATTTACTGTGTAGAGTGACGTCCTCACATGTTGACTCACAATAACGAATGCCACTTCACGATTTGAACTTTGACCTACACCATGTTTCTATGAGATTTTCAAATTTATTATAATGTAATTATACTGGCTCTTAAACTTACGACAAACAATGCCAACACCATACACAACCTAATATATATGTGACATACAATATTTCCGTAAGCTATAAGTTTTTTAATCCAACATTAGAAATGAAATAGATTAATTAAAATAATTTTCACATTAAGACAATTTAACATTTCCGAGCGCATGATACACACAGCATTATGTAAATAAACAAAAGCAAAAAAACGCAATTCATAATTCATCATAAAATAATAACGCATGCTTCATTTAATCTTCTTTGTTGATCAACTCGATAAAATTTCAAGATGGATACTGTGTTGATGTTCATCAAACTACAATAGAAACCACGTATTCCCAGTAACTGTAATATTACATTGAGTCTAAATCTCTATATCCCAACATTGGACGCCATAACTTCAATCTTAAATTATGAATGTACTTGTCATGTACAAAGTAACATAAAATTTAAGTACTGCCATGCAAAATTTAACATAAATTTATGAACTGCCGTGCAAAATGTAACATACATTTATGAAAGTTGTGCAAAAGTTAAAATAAATTTATGAACTGCCGTGTAAAATGTAATATGAATTTATGTACTTCCATGTAAAATGGAACAAATTTATGTACTGTCGTGCACAAATTTACATAAATGCACTTCTTCTTGAAAGGTACACTGTATGACTAAACAGTATTGATAATCACTAGTGGCTTATGTATTTCGTCTGTTATATAACATAACCACCAATTTACAGCAAATCCATGAAACAAGATAGAGTACTAGTTCCCTTGGCCAATACAGAGTTAATCATTCATTGTTTCTACATTAATTTCTGCATCACTCATTTATTTATAACATGGATTGAAACCACAATAGAAGTGCCATATGATGCTTGACATTAAGAGTGAGCTTGTGCAATGTACTTTAAGCAGTTCAAAACCGGACGTTTTTGAGACTCACGACTAAAAAATGGTGGTAAAAAATAAGAAACGTATATAAAATTCACACAAGATTCGTCTACCCGGAATGACAAAGATTGCTTACACATTGAAACGTGTGAGTCTTATTGATGGAGAGGCATCCTGTAGTACCAAACAATGATGCTATGCTTCCAAGTATAATTATACATCACCTTTTGCTGCAGAGCACAGGAATTTGAAATAATCCATTTGATCATGGATTACAATTGTCCTTTATAGGCTCCGGCAGGTTAATAACTTAATCAGCTCTTTTATGAATGTTAGAAATTTATTGTTACGTAAATATGACTTTGTGTTAAAGGGTAAATAATAAACCAGAGATCAGAAAAGTACATTATTGTTGTACAAATAAGCCAAAGAAATGACTCATACATAGGTGCTCTAATTACAGTTAAAATTAATCAGATGAACTCTCAGCAACTTCTCTCCTATCATCAAACTGAATAAAACTGTTTATATACAACCAATATAGCATTTCTCCATACTAAATGTTTACGGTTGAACAACAACAGAAGCCATGAGAAAATCTGGTCATTAGAAACATATTTTCACGTTTAGTCATCACATGTACTGTGGTGTTAATGCCACCACAGTTCCCGTGTATAACGGAGGGTAAGTGGATACATTTGGGTATCTATTTGGCTTCTGTTTCGATTAAATCGGTGTAAAATTGACGTTTTAAATAATCTAGCAGATCAGTAATATATATATATTATAGTGGATGAAATAAATCGGCCGAGAAAAAGCTTTGTGCTGGTTCGTAGAGATGTATATGTTCTAGGAAACATTTGCGTGTATGAAGATTGCCGAGCCATTAGTGTGCGTTGAATCGGCGTTTAAATTTCTGAACAGTGTCATCCATCAAAGTTAAATATCGAGGCTTTTTCTAGATTTCGCCTCGGACCCTCGGACCATGAAATGTATCTTTTGTTGATTATCTCGTGTCAAAAGGCAATTAAATAAAGTCTTTCTCTAATTGATGAGTCGATTTGGCACGAGGAGACGTTCTAGAATTTAACGGCATCAGAATCAACTTGATTCATGCCATCCTACTGTTCCGGTTTCTATTTGTTGGTAAATATGATCCAATGATTTGCAAGAAATTTCCTTGCTACGCTGAAATTTGAGAAAGCATTCAAAGCAGTAATCCGTCAGCGAAAATGTTGTTAAATGGGCTGTAGCCAACACCCTCTCACGTATGCTTATACAGCTGATGGCTACCGGAAGTTGTTTGCATATGGTTGCATGATGCTAGCGTAACCATGAAAACAAGCTCTTGTGTTGTTGTTTTTTATTTCGTGAAGAAATGGATTTTTCTATTAAAGCAGGCAAATCAGACTCTGAAATTAAGATATAGTTTGTCCTGTAGACATCAAACGATATCACTGTAGGTTAATGTATAAGAAGATGGTGCTCAGGGATTAGAAGTTAAACACTACTGCTGGTATTCCCATCCAAAGATGATTTGTATAGTCTAGGTGAAGTATGTTTGCCTTCCGATCTGAATCCTATATCTGCACGTCATACTATGCTATATTTATCTTTCTACTTATCTAACTTATTTACCGCCTTTGATTAGGTGTACAATAACACTCATATAAAAATGTACACATAAAATATCTAGATAAAAAGTGACCACACCTGCCACATTTCTATTACCTACTTGACCTAATTACTACTGACATCTATTTCTGGTGTTAGTAGAAGGTCATTTTAACCTTGACCAGTGATGACGCTCTAGTTAAAAACTATCCGAAAAAAAGAGGCCACAATTGTCAGCAAGTAAGGGTTGGTGGAATATGATATTACAAAATTCCGCAGAGCAATATCTTATACTACATATTGGTAGTTATGTGTTTGAAAGCGTTTTTTATGCTAGTTTTGTTGTTGAAGTCATTTAGCTGCTGAAATAAACTTCCTATATTTTATGTTCTCTAATAGGAAACAACAAGGTACCATGAATTATTTAGAGCACCAGTTTCACCGGAAACATCACGTACATTTCTTTTAGGGTCGAAGACTTTTTTTCTCGTTTGGGGAGGTCGTTAGCCAGAAAGAAGTCGACAAACAAATCATGTTGTTTCATTAATTGCCCTTTGTTTTATCACCTAAATACTATTATCAAGGTTTACATATACCCCTGGGTGTTAATACCCTGCTGTAGTAATTCCAGATTAATTCCTGCAATGAATGGCCATCACGCCTGATTTTCATTAATGCGTGTTTTATTGGAGAGTCCTGTTCCGTGTTGCTATGTTGATAGGCATTAAAGATGTACTGCATTTATCTCAAGACGTCGAATTGTTTATCAATCGTAGCTAACTTCCACACAAAATTGAAACGCAGTATTAGACAGCACGGAGAAGATCTTTGATCACCTTATGAAAATTTAATGTAAGGCAAGTCCAAAAAGGCGAGACTTCACAACATCCTGGGACGCACTTTCAAGGGAACGTATCATTGGTAAGACGCACTTCTTATGGCTATTTCTCATTCTAATCAATAGAGTTCACGTGGGTATGTTTCAATTAAGTATCTAACAATATTCTTATGTACTGATACACAAATATGCAAAATTGATCGATGTGGAATTTTCACATCAATA